GGAGGTGGAGGTCTCCTCACCTCACTGGATTATCCCTCAAATGTACATTCTTTGACGACATCCCTATCCAAATTGTCGCTACTCAAACAAATTTAGATATTGTTGTTTCAGTTTGTTTCTCTGTATTTGCCTCCAAATGAGCACAATGATCAGCAAGATTTAAATAGGTCTTATAGAGCAGCTGCCTGAGCCATTTTATCTATAATAGGAGATTTTAACGGCCATAGTCCACTCTGGGGGTAGCAAAGATACAAATTGCCGAGGAAGACAAATTGAGCAGATGATCGAAGATCACAGCCTTTGTCTCCTAAATAATGGCAAGATACATACTTCCATGAGCCTTCAAGGACATTCCACGCTCTCCATCTTGCCATCTGTTCACTATCTCTGTTGCCATTTTGCACTTTTAGTGTCGGAAATGATCTTTACAACAGTGATTATTATCCCATTTTTGTGTCTCTTGCACAAAGAGGAGGACACCCCATGTCGAGATCCCCTCAATTTATACTTGATAGGGCAGACTGGGAACTCTTCTCTTCCACTGCAGAGCTCACAGATGAACATGGTAGAAGATGTGCATATTGATGACGCTGTTGAAGCAGTTACTAATACTATTATTCAGGCAGCTATGCTCTTCCATTCCCTAGAACATCAGGAAAACTACTAAAATATTCAAAACCATGGTGGAATCGCGACTGTCATGAAGGCACTGAAAAAACAGAAAAAAAGCATGGGGTAATTTTTCATAGATACCCTACTTTGCGAAACCTTATGGCATTTAGCCAAAGCAAATGCACAAAAAGTAAGAAGCAGAGCCAGAGGGATTCATGGATTTCATAATGTGTCATCAATAACATCCTCTACACCTAGTAAGTGGGTTTGGGAAAGCATTCGAAAAGCACGTGGAATATATAAAGATTACTTACTTTCCTTTTTGGAAAAAGATGGCTGAGTGATTAGCTTCATAGAAGAAACTGCGAATACTATTGGTGAGACGTTTGCTGCCGTTTTCTTCCAGCAGAAACTACTTCACCTGCATTTCTTTCTCTATCAAGCAGCGCTCTGAGAATAAATCCCATCGCTTTCAAACTCTTCCAACTTTGAGCCGTACAATAGAGACTTTACTATGGTTGAATTAAAGAGAGCTTTGTTGCAGACACATAGGTCTTGTCCGGGTCTGGATGGCGTGTATTATGAAATGCTAAAGCATCTGTCCTATAAGTCACTGAGTGCCCTTCTCACACTTTACAATAGAGTGTGGAAGGAGCGTACATTTCCCAGTGCATGGAGGAGAGCTGTTGTCATTCCTATTGCGAAGCCAGGGAAAGACCCGAGGAATCCCTCCAACTATCGGCCAATTGCGCTTACGAGTTGCGTATGCAAGCTGTTTGAAAAAATGGTAAACAGCCGCCTAGTCTACTTCTTGGAAAAGAATAATATTTTATCGCCTTATCAAAGCGGTTTTCGAAAGAGGAGAACTACCGTAGATGATATGCTGCTCTTGGAGACATCCATTCGTAAAGCTTTTGTAAGAAGGATTCACCTTGTCTCGGTATTTTTTGACATTGAGAAAGCTTATGATAAGGCATGGAGATACGGTATATTTCGCGATCTTCACGAGAGTGGCTTGCGCGGCAACCTACCAATTTTCATTCAGAATTTCTTGAACACTAGAACTTTTCAAGTAAGGATTGGCTATGTTTCGTCGGATGTTTTTGAACAGGAAGAGGGTGTGCCTCAAGGCTGTGTGCTTAGTGTAATTCTGTTCAGCCTAAAAATAAATTCTGTATTAAAACAACTTCTTCCCACAATTTCAGGATCTTTATATGTTGATGACCTACAAATTAATTGTCGAGGTGCAGATATGAGACATGTAGAAAGGCAGCTCCAGATCGCTTTGAGCAGGATCCAGGAATGGGCAAAAAGACAAGGATTTACGTTTTCGAAACAGAAGACTGTGTGCGTGCACTTTTGTAGGAAGCGAGGTCTCCATCCTGAACCTGAGTTATATCTAAATGGTACAATTATTCCAGTTGCGCCCGAAGTAAAATTTTTAGGAGTAACGTTCGACCAGAAATTGACTTTCCTTTCTCATGTTTTAAACCTGAGAAAGAAGTGTCTCAAAACACTAAATATGTTAAAAGTGTTGGCGAACACCTCCTGGGGTGCAGAGCGTTGCTCCATGCTTCGCATTTACAGAGCGCTTATCCGCTCTAGACTGGACTATGGCTCAGTTGTTTATGGATCCGCTCGGTCATCTGTTTTGTTAAAACTGGATCCTGTTCACCATCAAGGTTTGAGGATATGTTCAGGAGCCTTCAGGACTTCTCCTGTCCAGAGCCTGTATGTTGACTGTAATGAACCATCACTTTATCTGAGGCGTGAACAATTGTCCCTTTTGCAATATTTTAATATACTATCCCAACCTGAACATCCCAATAAGCTGTGCTTACTTGATGATGTGAGTAACGCGTTATTTGAAACACGTCCATCTTGTGTTCCTACATTTCTTTTAAGAGTTCGCCCTGTCATTGAGGAACTTTCCCTCTCTGATATGCACCCCCAAGCAGTACAGAATTTTGAAATCCCACCTTGGGAAAATGCACGGATTCAGCTTCTTGATGTTTTTAAGTATCATGTGAAGGCAAGCACTAACGAGATTATTTACAGAACAACTCTTCGCTGAGCACAGGAACAAATATAGCAGTTATCTTCCAGTTTATACAGATGGATTCCAAGTCAAAAGATCATGTGGGGATGGCATTTGTAATTAAAGACCACATGGAGGGCAGGACGCTTGCACAAATGCTTTCTCTGTCTTAACATCCGAATTAACTGCGATATATTATGTAGTCTTTTATGTACATCTCAAGGCTCTGCTACAAAAAGTTTATAATTTATACAGATTCGTATAGTGCTCTTAAATCAATAGAAGCTTTTCCTAATACTCAAAATCCAGTAATAGTGGATATTCTCAAAATACATATAAACTTAATGAATCGTGGGTATGATATCCTGTACTGCTGGGTTCCCGGGTATGTGGGGAATAAAAGGGAATGAGCTGGCAGATATCACAGCAAAATGTGCTGTTGAACTGTCCAGTCGTCTCATCCCTTTTGCAGACATTTGTTGTGTTGTGAAACAAAAGATCCGAAAAAAAAAATGGCAACAACTTTGGGATGTTCAGCTTCAAAATAAATTAAGACATGTAAAACCTAGAATTGAGCACTGGGAATTAACCAAAAAATCGTAAGGAGGAAGTTCTTTTGACTCGCCTCAGAATTGGTCACACACTAGAGTGACACATAACTACCTTTTAAAAGCTGAAAATGAGCCTGTTTGTTTTAACTGTAATGTTTGTTTATCTATCTGTTCGTCATATTTTAATTGAGTGTCCATGTTTTAATAGTCTTCGCCAGAAATATTTTAAATAGCTGTGACTTACCTCTCGACCGTTTAATCGGAAGAGAGGTCAATTCTAATTTATTTTATTATTTAAAAGATATTGGCTTTTATTACCAAATGTAATTTGTTTTGAAGACTGTCTCTTGAATTTAAAATGTGCTTTTAACTTGTGTTTATATGACTTCATCCTCTGGATTTGGTACATTTATCTACTTGTTTTTATTTATTGAATTTTAATGTCATCAATTGTAATCATCTCATCTTTTGTTTGGCGCGTCATAATCATCTCTGGTTTTGCGCCATAATCACTCACTCACTCACTCACCCCCTTTCAGAATACTGATTCGGAAATGCAGCCTTAAAGTATCCCACACATGTTCAGTGGGATTTAAATCGGGAAAACATGTTGGCTAATGCATCTTCATTTTCCAAGAGCTTCTTAACAGCATGAGTCCTGTGTGACCATGCATTGTCATCCATAAAAAAAGTTGGGAACAATGTCACCCCAGAAAAGACGCATATGGACAAGGGTAACTTCATTACAATAACAATCTACAGTAAGTGAACCTCTGTTGAAAATATGAAGCTTTGTCTGTTCATCATAATGCCTCCCCATAAAAGCATGTCATGACCACCCGAATAGTCTCTTTTCTTGTTGTTAGGAAGATGAAAGCAGGTCTCTACCTCCTTCTAATCAGCTGGTGCCAAGAATCTTTTGTCAGACTGAAATGATTCTCATTAGTAAAGAGTATACAACTCCATTGATTGAGGTGTCCAGTCTGTGTGTTTTCTACACTACTGTAACAGGCTGCCGATGGGTTGCTGTCAACATTATGCAGCATTCGGGACAGTTGGTGAATAAGCTATCTTTATGAAGTTGTCTGACCGCAATAAATTGGGGCACCCGTCATTTGTTTCCTATGAGCATCTGATCAGCAATTTTTCAATCTCTTTCTGTCATTTGAGAGTTTTTCCAAGTTCATGAAGCAACACTTTTATCAGTTTCAAACTGTTGGGCTATCACCCAAACTACGCCCCTCCTCAATCTTGCTAGTCATTCTATCATGTATAAAAATGTCCTGGTATTTTCTTGTAGCTATACTTCACATAGAATCTCACATTCACTTGCAGAAGTAGGCTTGGAAATGCATCTTCCCTTCTTTTTAAGTTGTGTTACACTGCATGTACTGATTCCTCATGTTTTGCATGCTCTAACGTACCTTCTGACATCAGGGTATATGCATCACCTTTCTACTGAGTAGCTTTTCATTGTACTGATTGCAAAAAGCCCTTTTCAGCAGTGTCACAGTTGTATGTTGAAAAATGAATTTGTTGGTTACGTTTTGCACACTAATGTATTATATGATTCAGATAATGAAATCCAGTTATGTTGATATGCAGCTAATATATCTATGCAGATTACATAATTTCATTTATGTACATTTCCATTTATGTGAATTCATTTACATAACTTCATTTGTTCATTTTCAGATTAGTGTCTTTATTTGAGGACTGTAACATAAAATTTAAGTTATATAGAATTTAATTTTATACTTATTAATATATAACTTAATTTAATATTTTTTATACTTTAGATACTTTCTCAAATGGATGATCAAAGTTGCTCTGTATCAACTACTGTGATTACAATATGAATGAAGTTTTTGCTTTTTTCAGTGATATGATTACATGCCATATGTATTATACAACATTTTGTTTGCGTGTTGCATTTATACATTGCTGAATTTCCCCTCTTGGTGAACTGCAGCTAACAGCAATGTAATGCATTTAAGAGTGATGTACTGTTTTATGAAGTGTTGTGTATTTACTGTTTTCATTAGCTTTTGGCAAGGGGAAAATTGTCAATGTGTATGTAATAAGATATTTTGTATCTTTATGGTTATCTATCAAGTATCTTTACTGATAACCTTCATCAATTTTTAAAACTCTCCTCATTCCCATTTCATCTGTGCTTTACATTGCTCATTTAAACTGCTTTTTAATTATTGTACAATGAGAGCCATTTTGAAACGTGTGGTAATCATGTTACCATCCAGCACAATTTCTTTTTCATTAGTCCATTATTTTTAAGTGTGATTTTATAACTGATAATTATTAGCATTTCAGTTTTATTAAAAACTCTCATTCAGTTCTATTAGATCATAAATTAATGGTATATTTTTATTGTAAGAGTGAAATGCCATAAATATGTATTGCTTAAAATCATAGAACTCTAAAATTTAGATCTTTTAACTATGAAGTTCTCATTAAATGTTTTTAGAATTTGTACTACTTCATAAAATGTTTTGTAAAAGTATCTAATGTAGTAGTATGAAGTTAAGGATCTACATCCTACATAAAAGAATAATTTTTGTCAATTGAAACAAAAAGAAAATTGTATAAATTTCAGTTAAAGAAAAGCAAAAATATTCATAAGACCAAAGCTTGAATAGTATATAGTTAATGCTCGAGTTTTCACTAGTTAAAAAATTCAGAATTTTTAAACAGTGACTGAATCATATAATGATGATCTGATATATTTATGCTGTAGTAAAATAAACACTAGTTGTTCATTAATATATCAGTTTTTTATTATGATTTTAATCAGCATAAAAGTTGAAAATCATATTATAGCATATAAATTATTTGTTGATAAAAGAAAGGAATCAGAATCACTTATAGATGTAAATCCTTTATCTTTTATAGTACTGAACATAAGAATTTTCTGTATTTAGGTTACCAATTTATTTACTGAGCTGCAGTGCATTTTCTTTTCTTTTCTTTTTTTACTTAAGCATTGACATGTAGTGCATTTCTGTATTGTCATAAACAGCATTGTATATATGTACATTTTAATACAAAATTGTAAACAAAATTGTATGCAAAATTACTTGTTTTTTAAGTAAAGATTCGTGCAAAACATTAAAAATATTAAAAGGAGTACAGTTAAAAAGGGTCACATGCATCCATATCAATGCTTTATTGGCTAGTAAAATATCCACATGTGCTTACCTTTTTGTGTTGAAGTTTAGGAGGTTTCATAGATAATGCTCATTATTTTCAATTTTCCTATATGTGGTTGTGTGGGTTAGTTTTGTAAAATGTCTGCTTTGAACAGAAAAATCTTCAGTCTCTTAAAGATAGTGTTCTAATTAAATTAAATTTTAAAACAGTGTTCTTTCTTTCTAATCTTCATATCCATAATGTTGTATGCTTGGATGAGAGACAATATGATATTTTCAAAGTTTTGTGTATATATAGACTGGTGGATAGTAGCTAAGGATGGATTGTAAACAGCTATCTAGTGTGTAAAAAAGTAAATGTAGTTGGATGTCAAGTGAAATAAAATAATGCCAAAATGCTAGGACATAACCACAATGGTAATTTATTGTGCTCTGAAATCCATAAGGCTGTGAAAGGACAAAATGGTCGCTTTCGGCTGAATAAATTAAAATGGGGAAAAAAAAATGCAGTTACTATCCACAAACATTCTGACATAAGATGTCAGTATGAGACATAGCCATTATGAAGGGAGATGCAAGATTCCACGCATCATGTCATATTTTGCACAACATTTTCAATGGGATTAAGATCCGGAGAACGTACTGAGCATACGAGGCGTTGAATATTCTTGCTCTCTAGACACTCCTGGACTGCAGCTGTTTGATGACATGTTGCATTGTTATTCATGAAGACAAATTCATTACTGACAGAGTACCATGGGACATGCAAATGTTGGCCAGTCATAGTGCCAGTTGGAAGCACATAGAGTGACATACAGCCATTGATCATGTTCCCAGCCCATATCATGACACTACATGTAGAATATCGGTCCCTTTCTTGTATGTCTGCTGGACTATATGCAGGATACCACTCTCATGCAACATCAGTTGTTTCCATAATCAGATAAGTCATCTGAGAATAGTTTACAAGCCTGATTGTCTTCTCTCCAACTGTGATGCTGATGACACCATTGCAAATGGCAGGAGCGTTGACGTCTAGACATGCACATAACAACATGGTGGAGGTATAGTCTTCTTTGATACAAATATCTGGCTACAATTTTTCAGGATATTTGCTCTCAGTAGCTGATTTGCTACTTCAGTAGCTGTGCTGTAGCAGTTCCTTTTTGTCAATAGCACTATGTACCTATCTTCTGCAGGCATCGTACTGTTTTTCAAAGCCTTGAAACCACACTGTGGCTGACATCAAACTTCTTACAAATATCTTTTTTTTTTTTTTTGTTCTCCCTCCCCACCCTTTTTAAAATCTTTCCAATAATAATATGGCCATATGTAGAATCATTGAAGTGATGTTGGGAAGACATAACGAAAATTGCAAGTTCGTCAATTTATTCTTTCATGTTAAATTTTACTTCTGACTAACAATGGTCAATATGCATCAAATCCTTTTATCTATTATCACTTGACAAACAACTTCGCCAATCCAAAATTTGTGTACGCACAACATGTCTTAATCTCGCACTTATGCTAATTTTCACATTTTTCTGCCTTCCATTTTGTGGTTGCTATAACTGCTGCTGTCCACCAGTGTCAGCAATTATTATCCAGTGTATAAAGAAAAGCATTTGAGTCTTAGAATTGAGGTCAGGTGTCTTGTCTTTTATTGTAGCCTAGATTCAGATTAAAGGTCTTAGTAGTGGAAATGTAAATTATTGCTATATTGTGAGATTCATGGACTGTATAATCCTCATATTTCAGAAACTGCTTATAAAAATTATGGTACATTTTTAATATAGTTAATATTTTTATTTTAAAACTGTGGCAAGTTTTAAAAAGAAGTGTTTTAATTTAATTCTGCTATCCATCCCCTCCCCACGATATTTCAGCTAATTAGAAAAAGCTTCACATTTATTAACAACTCAAGCTGGACTCTGAATCTGATTTGAATAATTTAATATTTGAGCAAGTCCTAAGTTTGCTGAGTAAAGTTAAAGAAGGAAACTTTCTAAAAATACAATGGGATTATTATATGGGGAAAAAAAAAAAAAAAAAAAAAAGATATATATATATATATATTTAGAGTGTAGTGCACTGAAGCCAACTCTACTCAGTGTTTAGTTGTGTCATTATCACTGAAAATCAATAACTTTTCAGTTTTCAGTTATGGTAAAACACAAATGTCAGCTTTTCAAAGTTTACAGTTCAGAGATTTTTCAATTTATAAAATTAATCCTATTAAAATATCTGCATTTTGCAGATTAAAGCGCCATGATGTTTCATATTTGTCATAGTCTAAAATCATAAAAGTTAGGTATCTGCCATCGCACTTTGCCTCACAATAGCTGTAGTAGAAAAGTTTATAAATGGCATAAAAATCTTTTTACATAATAAAAATGCGCTTCACATTGTAGATATTTTTAGATTTATCCCATATTTAAGTGATTATTCACTTACTAAATATTCACTTAAATATTAATCCCATATTTAAGGAAGTGACTACTTTGTAGTTTATGTGGAAATACCAGTTTAGGGAAGAAATTGCAATTAATTTCAGAATGTTGTCTAATTAGATGGGAAGGGGGACTTGAAAAAATCTAAATGCATGTAAATGTAGGCAAATTTCTTGAAAATTGCAGATAAATGTAGAATTTCCAAAATTTTAACAATTTAGGCATATTTGGTAAGGGGATGTAGCGCCCTTCCTGGTGGGGGGGGGAAACTGTTAAATCCAATTCTTACATAGCAGTAGCTTGGTAAATAATTACATAATTATATACACAAGATAAATAATGCTGAGAATGGAAATAATACTGTAAATGATACTTGTTTGAGATTAGTTATTTTGCAGAGATGGACAAAAGATAAGTTGATGAATGCAAACTTTTAAATTGTCTTCTTATGCAAAGTTTTAGTTGATTCTTCTTAAAATGTCCTAAACCAGGGATGGGCAAGGTGTGTGGTTGTGGTGTATTTAATCATGGCAAAGCACACTAGGGCTATCTGCCTAAGGGGAGGGATGCCTTCATGGAGGACTTTCTAAGGGAAACTGTCTAGTATACACGTTACGCATGGGAAAAACCACGAAAATACCCATGCAGCCAGCCCGTTCGCGGGATTCAAACCTCGGACCGACTACCAGTGTTCAGCGACTTTGCCGCTGGTAAGCCCAGGGATGGGCAAACTACGGCCCGCCAGAAGCTTCTATCCGGCCCGCGAATAGAATTTTAATTTGCCGGTTCAAGGCAAATTAAACAAAGTAGAAAAGAAGATGGATATCATCTTCTTTTCTGCTTTGTTTAAATATTTTTTCCTTCCTTTTTTTCAAAGGACTGATGATCTTTTTACTTTCTCTATTTTTGTTCTACAAAACATAAATCGACGGAAATTGCAAGCACAGACAGCTTTCAATCAGTAAAGTGTTAAAAGCGGAAGATCTTTGTTAGTTATAGCTGTAAATTGGCGCCAACAAGCGTATCTCTTTCTCGGGGAGTGGACATATGGGAATCCAATCTAGGTGAATTAGGAAAAACTTAATCTTAACATAAAACTTAATAAAACTTAAATCTGTGTTCTGGGCATGTAGCTAAGAACCACTTGTCTCATTTCCCGAGGTTAACTTCAGTACCCTCAGTAAATGAAGAGAAGCTTAAGAATTATGAAGATGGCTTGAAAAAAACTCCATTTTGAGTGCGAAGGCAGATTTCAGTGTCATTGAAACAGAACTGGATATTTTTACCATGGCTTTCAATGTAAATTGTGAAGCAGTGAGGGCATATCTGCACCTTGAATCAATTTATTTGCAATCCAATAATGATCTCAAGCAGTTGTTTCTAAATATGCCAAAGTTTAAGTTTTACAAATCATTATCGAAAGTAATTTATATCTCAAAATTTAATATCTCAAAATTTTACCCAAATTTAATATCTCATGCCCAGAAAATCAGTGCTATGTTTGTTTTCTCTTATATATGTGAACGAGTGTTTTCAACTATAACATTAGAAAGAATTATTTCAGAAGTAGACTGACAAATGCCCATTTAGGCTCGTTCCTTAGAATCAGTACATTTCATTTCAAACCTCAATATAAGGAACTGTTAAAAATGAAATCCGAACTTCATTCATCTCATTAACCTTTTTGCGGCGGTGCACCTTGTTTAAGATGCTCGTATGGGATGGAAGGGAATTGAAGGCAGTCACCGTCTAGGACAGAGGTTTTGCATCGCTAAGCCTATTTTTATAAAAAAAAGATCAGAAAAAAAAGTTTCGCTTCTAGCTTCATAATTTTTTGTATTCTTTTCGATTATTACTTGAGCTCTTATGTATGTTAAAATTAGCACTTAATAGCATTTTTCTCTTTATTTTACATGAAAATATACTTAAAAAATTGCTTGTCTTGTAAAATAATTTTCTGAAGCGCTATTCAAATTATTCCAAAGTTTTAATTGATAAAATCCATCAATAAAGTTTGAAATTAATAAAACAACATAATAATGACTATTTACAGTAAGAAGTAACAAATTGCAAATGAAGACTTTGGTAAATCTCGAAGTACGGAGAAGTAGCACTTTCTAACTCTTAGAAAAAGTAGCAATTTTTAACAATTAGAAAAAGTATCACTTTCTAACTCTTTAGAAATTGAATCATCACTCTCATCTGTGTTAATAAATGGTTCATTGACCATACAAGGGAATTCTTCCTCTGATAAATAGCGCCTTTCTGTTATAATAGACTTTCCGAAATAAAAAAGAGCAGAAATGGAAATATATCTGAAGGGCAATGCAAAACAATACTCCACATACTAACCCTAAAAGACTGTATATAGTAAAGGAAAAAATAGAATAAAAAAAGGAATTGGATATAAATCAGACTCGCGAATGTTTTCATTTTTCATTAGCACGCAGCGATTTAAAGAACTCACCTCTGTTTACGTTTTCCCTCCCCCCACCCTCGCAAGAGCTGATGAGTAAAATACCAAAGCCAAGCATAATATATCAAACTCAAGGTCAGGAACTTAAAACTGTGTTCATTTCAAAAGTAATGGACATAGGATACCATCTAGCGGCCTTCAGAAAAACGTTCCAGCTTAAAATGTGCATACACATCACCCGTCCTTTGAATGCAATCTCTAGCGATGCATGGATGGGACGCCCGGCTGTAAGAGACATTCTTAGGGAATGTGTATATGGGATGCCCGTCCTGAAAGGATTAACATATTTAACTTGTAATACTTGTATATTGTTTTTTAAATTTTAGAAAAACTTATCTTGGCCCACCAAACTTTTTTCTTTCGATTTTGCCCGCGACCAAAAAAGTTTGCCCATCCCTGTCCTAAACTAACTAATCTGATGATTTATTTCTCAAAGTAGTAAAAAATTCTATCATTAGCTTATCATAAAACAAATATGTTTTTCTTCTAAATACACGATCTATGAATAAGTATTTGGACACCGGTGATTGAAATTCAATAGTTGGCAGAACCCCCATGAGCAGCAATTACAGCCTCAACCATCTAGGGCATACTTTTGCAAATCCTTATATTACAGTTACTGGTATTCTCTTCCACTCGGAGTAGACATGGGAATTCCTTCATTGTTATTGGACAGTTGTTGCACCCCTTAATTTGGCAATCCAACTTATCCGAGAGGTTCTCAATAAGATTCAGGTCTGGGTTCTGAGCAGGCTGGTCCATTCGGTTAACTCAATTGTCACCATACCAATACATGGTGGACCTTGCAACATTACAGCTGCCGTTGTTGGACTGAAGGTAGCACGGGTCCAGCCCTTAAAATTGCCACAATATAGGATGACCACACTGTCATCGAAAATAGTGCAGTAAGCATTGCCATTGAGCTTACCATGAATTTGGACTAAGGGTTGCAGTCCATACCAGAAGAAACACCCTCAGACTATAATTCCACCTCTGCTGAACTTTGCTGTAGGCACAATGTATTCTGGCAGGAGGCATTCTGCAGACAGACATCAGAACCAGTCCTTGGCATCCAAACAGTAGAAGGGAACCTTGATTCATCACTCCAGAGAACCTATTTCCATTGATCTACAGTCCACTATCAAACCAAACAGCGTGGTTGGTTTCTGTGATCAAAGGTTTATAGGGGGCAGGATGACCATGGAAACCAAGCAGATGGGCTTTCTTATGGATGGTATTCATTGGGAAAACATTCCCAGATGCTTGTTGAAACTCCTGGAGTATATGAGCCATTGCTTGGGTGTGGCTCTTCCAAATTTCTCTAACCAGCACCTGTCAGTTGCAATGCACCACCTTTTTTGTTGATTTTAAGACTGCTTATGATTCAGTAAACAGAAAATATTTAATTGAAGCTACGAGAGAATTTGCAATACCCGAAAAACTTATAAATTTGGTCACCATTACTGAGACAAAACTTAGGGTTAAAATCCAGAATAATCTTCTGAGCCTATTGTTTTTCAAATGGGCTCAGACAGGGTGATGCACTGGCCTGCTTGCTTTTTAACCTTGCCCTCCAAAAAATCATTAAAGACTCCAACATTAATACTCTTGGAACTATCTTTAACAAGTCTGTTCAGATTTTTGCTTTTGCTGATGATACTGACATAGTCGCACGCACTCCCGAGTCACTTAGAGAGGCTGCAGCCAGCAAAATGCATCTAGCAGTCAACCAAAATAAAAAAAAATTAAATGCATGCCATGTGGTAATAACAGCTGCCCCAATTTTGAAATTGGGAATTACAAATTTGAAACTGATAGCAAATTTAAATATTTAGGATCAGAAGTTAATACTGTCAATGATTTAATGCCTGAAATCCGTAGTAAAGTCACAGATGCTAACCGATGTTTTTTCGGTCTCAAAAAATACTTGAAGTCTAATTTCACTAGCAGAGAAACGAAGATTTCAATTTACAAAAGCTTAATCAGACCCATTATACTCTGCTGAGACTGGGCAATGACAGAAAAAACTGAAAGTATCATTTCTGTCTTTGAAAGAAAAATTTTGAGAATTATTTTTGGTGGCATAAAATGTAACAAAATCTGGGGAAGAAAAACTAACTCTGAACTATAT